ATTTACCGGATTATGCTTGGGGAGAACGTGTTAGGTATGAGCCGACAGGATTAAAATCTTGAGTAGTTCTGATTTTCACTTTCAAATCAGATAGGACTAGGTCGGAGTTCTTACTTGGGTTTGGGATTGGAATGATTGTGGAAAAAAAGAAGAGAAACAGAAAAAGTTGTATCCTTAGGAGGAGAATGTTTTCTAGAAGTTTATAATCTAGTGATTGATTTTCGTGGGGTTAGCATGATATACAGAGAATGGTTCTGGGATGTTAAGAAAGAGAAAAAGTTTTGATGTCTTATAACGTAAGAAGAAAACAGAACCATAGTTAAGAAGAAATCCCCTATCCACTAGTATTGATAAGAAACATCTCCTAAGGCAAAAAGCAAAAAGAAAAAAAAAATGGGATTGATGTTGAAGGGTAGACAGAGGGATCATCCGTGTTTAGATGATTAGGAGTAAGCACTTGGGAACCATTGGGTAGTCAAGGTTTTATTCCTGTATGCATTTGTTGGTCCTTACCTTTAGCATTCTCCCTAAAGCTCAATCCATTCATTGAGAGATCCTTGTCCTGAAATTGTTTAAACCCTCATGATTCTCAAAACCTTTTTCTGCCTAGCCAAGTGAGTTTGTTAAGCCTTGCACAACCAGATTCATATACTTGAATAATGAATGTTAAAAGGAATGAATGATTTGAATGCATGTGTAGATCAAGGGATAGAATCAGTTTCAGATTTGATGAGTTTGTCTAAAGTCGTTAAGTAAAGTTCTCTCAGCATGCATCAAAGACTTAGCAACCAGGACATTGATTTTAACTGCTCTATCTTGCAAGTTACAGGTTCTGAGACCCCATTTTCAAACCTCTCTTCCACTTTGTTTCTTTTTGCTTTGCTTGAGGGCAAGCAAAGACTAAGTTTGGGGGAGTTGATAAGTCTGTATTTCATTGCTTTTTGAGTATGCATTCATCATCTATTCAGCATCATTCATTTGTTGATTCGCATCATATTGATCCCTTTCTGCATGTTTTACATACTTAGGTAGGTTTTATGCATATCATGCATATCATGCATATCTTGCATACATTGTGCATATTTGGAGTGTTTCAGGTACTTAGGAGACATGTAGAGCGAAGCAGAGGAACAAGCGTTACTCGACATG